CGGTGTACTCCTTTGCTTGCTCATCACCCTGCGAATGTATTGCTACTACTCGTGTCACTACGAAGAATTACGGCCTCAGTGATAAATTTGACAAGATCACCGCGATTCTCACTAGTTGCTTGTTCGCACTTTTGGGGTCGCGTTTCGGTTGCCCTTGTCAGGACCAACTAGCATCCTACCGCTCGAACTCTTCACTATCGTCATGGTTGCTTGACCCTTTCGCACGACAAATCAGGGGCGATTCTCGCTATCTGTCCCACCGTCATCGTCCGCCATCACGATCGCCCCATCAGCATAAAGTTGCATCACTACATTGTGGATATCTGCAGTCTTGGCCTAATACTAGGAACATTGATACCACCAATACCATGTTTTGTCACCAGTTTCGATATCGTTGTCTTTATTATACGGATAACGATCGCAGGTGCATTGAATCTGGTACCTTCCTGCCTTCGCCGTCTGCCCAGGAAAGCGCACATGCCAGCGTGAGCCATCTTTGTATGGGGCCCTGTCGGGTAGATTGGTCCCGCTTCTGGCAGTTGTAAGAGTTACACTCCTACTTTTTCATACCCTAGTCTTTCGAGCAACTTTGGCTTGCCGTGCGGATCGTCGCAACCTAAAGCTTTGGTCTATGTCTCTCCACGGTTCACATTTTTGGACTCTAGACCAACGAAGCCCAACGCCCTGAGACCGCCTCTCAACAGCTATGCGCCTTGACGACTCACCCTTAGGGAACTAGCGAGGATGTGAGTTTGGGGTGCAGGATTTTGGGCTTAGGGTTTGGGGTTTGGGGCTTGGGTTCAAAAGGGTCTAGGGATGTCTAGGGTAACTAGAAAAGGTACCTTGGAAGCCTCAGCACTGTTCAAAACAAAGCCTTTGCATGAGGGTCTCTAGACGTCCGCCACAATTGCCTCAGCACGGGTCCTTCAGCCACACCATCACCTAAACCACTTGGGGTTCTCTGGCTCATCCTCCCGAATCTCTTTGCTCTTCTGATACGAAACAATGCAACCACCAAGTGCATCTCAAGGCTATACGACTGCAAGAAATGTAGACACACGACTCCTGATGTGGGTGGTTGTCCAAATTATGGTCCCTTTTTGGGTCCTTATTAAAATACGGCACCTATTATTTAGGGTACCCCAAAAGGGACCGTAATTTTGACAACTACCCATGTCTCTGTGACCTATATTCGGCCCCTGTACTGCTTTGCAAGCTTCTTGGTGGGATGGCTCAAGGATGAAACTCGAACACCGAATGCCAAGTGACACGACACCAGCCATGGCTGCTCGCCGCTGTGGGCCTTCTTCTGCCGTAGTCACTGGGCTTATGGTTGAAGACTCGGGGAATTCTGGACGCGATATTAGGTCTCGCATCCCTCTGCCTAAACATCTAAACATCTTTTGGGCTGCGCCTGGCACGCCGTTGCTGCAAACAACTTCTGGCACGTGAAGCTTGAGAGCTGCGCAACAAGAAACATGAACCGCCGCAAAACCCTAAACCCTGAACCCTCAACCCTAAACTCTGAACCCTAAGCCCTACACCCTCAACATCCAAGCCCGCACCCCCAAACCCGTAAACCCCCAAACCGAAACTCAACACCCCAACAGAACATCTGCTACTGCCTGATACAGCCGTATGTCAACCTTCTCAAGCCCTTGTAGAACCTTTGTAAATAAAGCCCGGTTTTGAACCCTGGAGACCCTGATAAAGGCCTAGAAACCTACGACAAACCCCATGAAAGCCCGACAGAACCAAAACTCCGCTAAGGCAAAACTTGCAGCTGACTTCATCAGGGTTCAGGTTTAGAGTCTAGGCTTTAGGATTTACAACCTGGGGTCTAGGGTTTGAGGGTTTAGGGTTTCGGGCTTAGGGTTTAGGGTTTAGGACTTATCGGGTCTAGGGTCTGGGATTTAGGGGGCAGACTCCGATCCCCGTGGATTTCTGGTAAAAGGACCGAGAAGTCATAAGAAGCAGAGGAGCAGTGACAAAGGAGCCAGAACGATAATGCAAGTAGTGACGAGGTTGCATGATGATGATGACGGTGATGATGATGAGGAGGAGTAGGATGAGGATGAGGATAACGATGACGATGACGGTGATGGGACGATAATGATGACGATGATGATGAGGATGATGAGGAGGAGCAGGAGTAGGACGAGGATGAGGATGAGGATGACGATGACAATGACGGCGATGATGATGATGATGATGTATAACACTGGAAACCATGATAACACCTGCAATTCGAAGCCGAAGCTGCTCTGGGAGACTCGTTCGCGCTATCAGTATTGATGCTGCTACCACACCCTGGTCCTCAAACTATCGTCACTGCCTTCGTGACTGCATTGTTGGTCGTTCTGGACAACATGATCGGCACGTGTTGCCACTGCATCCGTACATGCATCAGCTCCGAAGCAGCAACAGGAGGCCGAGTGTGGGACATCCGTGAGTCCTGCTCGAAGCCAACTCTGAAGGAGTAAACAATCCCAAGACTAACCCCTGCTACAGAAACTGTGCCATCATCAACCCCCGACCTTTAGCAAGTACTCGCGGCATGTCTCGACGGCAGAAGGGTCCTCCTCCGGACCGTTTGGCCTTGGATCGCCTGTGATCCGCTTGCCGAAAACTGTGAAGACTGCTAAAGCCAGCGATACTACCAAGGCTCCTGTCACAGCAGACGTGACTGCTTCTGAGTGGAAGGTGGCGAAGCTCGTGGAACTTCCGATGCCTCTTCCTCCGGCAACAGTCTGATTCAAGTTGCAGTTCAAAAACCCATCGCGTGCGGCATTGTCACAGTCACATGGGCTGGATGCCATCCAGCCCGAACGGAACGCAGCCACCCTGCCAGACGCAGCGGTACCACATGGGTACACTCCTTGCAAGTTCACTGCAACAATCTCGACATTTTCAGGCACGTCCCAGTCGTACTGAAATTGGAAGCTGTCCAGGCTACCTGCCTCGGCTGCTCACCTGGGGGTTTCCGAAAATAGGGGACCCTAATATAGTACCCTAAATAATAGGATCCTTATTATGAGGATCCCAAAATAAGGTACCCCTTATATCTGGAAACTCCCACCTCACCATCTCAGTTGCATCGTTGGGACCTACTTGGCGACCACACAGCTGCTGTGCGGCAACCGCATGCGTTTCAAAAACGCGAGTCCGTCCTCGGAGGTTAAGAGAATAAGGGACATTTGAAGAGAACCCTAAAGAGGGGGATCCATATTTTAGGACCCTTACTACTATAGGATCCTGATCCCTCAACAAGGTACCCCTGATATCAAGAGCCCCCCCCCTCCTGTGTTGAACCACACACCACTGCCCGGAGCATAGAGAAACCACATGCCGACTTCCTCACCTGTCACTCCTCCCCCTTGGTGGCGCACCTCGATCCACTGGTGGTTTCCAGCAGCACCGTAGCCTTTTCTGCCGTAGCCTCCTTTCACGTGCTTGATCCAGAGGCCATTCTTGTAGGAACCCTTATTCACATCAATCACCTTCACGTCATACAGGTCACCAACATCCACGTGATTCATACCATGAAGCCAATCATTCACATACTTCACCGGGTGCCCAGCGATGCCTGCGCGCTCATAACTATCCCTGTCCAAATACCAGAAATCCCAAGCGCATATCGGGTACCCAGCGTGTGGAACTGCCCCGTAGACACGCTCGAAGTATGTTGCCCACACCGAGCTCAGTAGTTCGGCCCGGCTGTGAAACCTCGGCCAACCGTACGTCTCTTCTGCAGAGCACCTTGAAGGTATGGGGGATACCGGGGGTGAGAGCGTTGCGCCTGATGTGCTGGCGATGTCTCGTGGCCAACTCGTCAGAGGGCAGAGGCTTTTCAGAGAGCCTCTCTTCTTCAACAACCAGGCCCAAAAAAGTTCAAACTTTTTAGGATAGACCAAAAATATAAGGCCAAAAAGCTTAAAGTTCTCCTATTGGCTAACTAAGGAGCATCTGCCAGCCATGAAGGTCCAGCCTCTGCATTCCACGGATCTACTGCAGGCGTTGCAGCAATCGTCTGCAGAGGGCAGTGACGTGTTGAGGATGTCAATATGCACTCCCTTTGGACCGACGCAACTAGTCTCCTGGAAGGTGATGCATTGCGCAGGCTGGGCTGTCATCCGGGACTGCGCATTTGGAGAACGTCGTTTGAAAACAAAAACCTCCCCCCGAAATTCAACTCAAGACGTGATAGTCCAACACTTTTGAACTCCAAGCTTGGCTTGTTTGTGTCATTGTCATCAAAAACACGTATAACTTGTGCTTGTCCCGGGCCAGCTAACCACGAACATCCTCATGCATGCACTTCGTTCCTGGTTGTAAGAATAGTCTGCAAGGTCTACGAAATTCCTCCCGTGAACGGCTGCTGGTTCGGGTGTCCCTACGTTCGAAAGTGCTTATGGCAGGCGCAGCAGTGCACCCAAACCCATTGCTTGAGCACAATGGCCGTTGCGGCAGGAGTCTGTGAAGAAAAGAGTCGTTCACCTTGGGTCGTAGCGGGAGCATGAAAATCAAATCCGTCACTTGGACTATTTAACGGATCTGAAGCCCCAGGGCGGCAGCGAACTGCACATGAGAGCCCTTAGGCGAAGCTCCGAAAGATTCCAAACACACAATGACGCCTGCATAAGCCTCCGACGCATGTGGGTAGCTTTCTAAATTAGGGTCCCATTTTGGGGTCCCCAATATAGTACGGCACCCTTATAAAAAGACTCCAAAAGGGACCCTAATTTAGAGAACTACCCATGCGGTTGCAGTCTTCTTGCCTCGCTTCCACCAGTCAGAACTCAAGGACGGCTTCGCCGCGGTCGGATGAAGCTAGGCCACGTCACGCCCGGTACATAGGCCACTCAGTGCAGGAGTCCATCTTGGACACTCCATCGTTGGGAAAACAGGTGCCCCAAAAAAACGGTAACGTGCAGTCGCAAACTATGCAAACTTGAATTCACCGGCCGAAGAGGGCCCAAAGGCCTAGCGCGCATCTTCAGCTACTGATTTGTGTAGCAAAGTCGGTAGAGTTCGGCTGGGGAGAGCGGAACTCCAACATTCTCAGCCTGCTTCTTGTGGTAGTACATCGCCACATGCTGTTGAGAAATCCGATCTAAGCAGACGACGAGCCTTCCATGGCGGACATTCATATCCTGCAAGCAATCTTCTAAGCCACCTCCCTTGCAGTGCTGGAACCAGGTGTTCACATCCTCTTCTGCTTCACTCTGTGTTAGATGCAAGTCCTGCCATGGTATCCAATAGGGTTTAGGGTTTAGGGGTTTAGGGTTTAGGGGTTTAGGGGTTTAGGGGTTTAGGGTTTAGGGTTTAGGGCTATCTATGAAGCACGAGATGGACGTGTCCACTTCATGACCTGAACCGGTATGAGGCTTCAGAATCGGGCCTCGAATTCGTTGATGCAGTTGTGCGTCGTCATGCAACAACGCACCTCATGGTCGAGCCCACAGGGAAGATATCAGTTTGCAATATGTCATCTTCTGTTCTAGTATGTCATTTTACCAAAGAGTCTAGTGCAGCGAGCTGGAAACTTGCACTGGTACCAAAGTCCCCGACATGGAGCAGCTGCGCTTAAAGGCCTCCACAAGAGAAACCATACGGTCCAACTCCGCCAAGGCACATAGTAATTGAGGGCCAGCAAGATCAGGATCGCCGGTACCACGATGCAAAGGATAAGCATGATGAGTCCGGGAAGGGTCTTGCAGGAGCAGATATATCGCACCATAGTGGGGAAGACAAAGACGGCGCCATTCCACCAGAACAAGTACCTCAGGCAATCAGGGAATCATGAAGCGCAGGCCGGAGCCTAGTGGTCTCATGTTGAAACAGGAGAGTTTCACCATCAACCTGCAATCTCAGTGCCATCCATTTCCAGGTACCAACTTGCTCAAAACGGAAACCGCAGTCCAAAGGCTCAACAGTCGCACCCTACAACCTCTATTCAGCGCCATCCGCCTCTACCGGGTGGTACATGGGGTATCTTATCTGGAAATTCGTGGGTGCATAAAAAAATTGAAAGACTCCAAGGTGCGGGACGCGAGTCGCACCGCCCACGCGACGTAGGAACTCGACAGATCCGGCATCCGATTCGATCTCCCCGATGCACAACAAGAGAACAACCGTGGCGATGGTCGAACAGAGGTAGCCAACAGCGCCCACGAAGTAACAGATAAGGCTCATGTCGTGTAGGCCTGTCGCCGCCTCTTGCAAGCTGCTCTCGCTCAGCTGCTGGCCGATCCAACTCTCTTGAAAGGCAAAACCGCTTCCAGCAAAGTCCTCCTGCAGCCAGTCGTCCACGTTCTCAAAGGCCATGGGTATCACAATGGTCCCCATCAGGGCGCTGATTAGACCTCGGAATCTGCATCTGCAAAACCCCTACGTTGTGGAAGCATGTTGCAGCTCTTACCCGATGCTCGATTCTACACATTCTTCACTCCGCCGTCTGACCTTACCAAGGGACCCATGTTGGTGCATTCATTGACCAAGTTGTCTCTGGCTGCGGTCGACACGCCCTTATCCTCCGTGACGATGTGGTCACTCAAGACCAGGAAGCGTCCACTCAGCATAGCCAGCCAAGAAGCAGCGACTCCTTGGCGAACTGCCAATCAAGGCTTCAAGTTTAAAAATCTTGAACACCCTAAACCCTAAAACCCAAAACCCTGAACCCTGAACCATAAAACCCTAAACCCTGAACCCTAAACCCCAAAACCCCAAAACCCTAAAACCCTGAATCCTAAACCCAAAGAAAAGGAGGAAAGAAACTCACAGCCGATAGCCGAGCAAGGCTCCATCTGGAGTCTTCGGGTTCCCCGTCCTCTCCACCTTCCGCTGGGGCTTAGGGTTTAGGGTTTAGGGTTTAGGGTTTAGGATTCAGGGTTTAGGATTTAGGGTTTCGGATTTAAGGTTTAGGATTTAGGGTTTAGGGTTTAGGGTTTAGGGTTCCTCTCCACCTTGCGCTGGGGCAAGAAATCGGCCACCCGCTTCAGGAAGATGCCCTCCAGCTCTGACTTCTCCGGTGCCTTACTTTGCGGTTCAGTAGGGTTTAGGGTTTAGGGGAAGATGCACTCCAGCTCTGACTTCTCAGGTGCCTGATATAGGGTTCAGTAGGATTTAGTAGGGTTTAGGGTTTGGGGAAAGATGCCCTCCAGCTCTGACTTCTCAGGTGCCTTGCTCAGGGTTTGTTGAGGGTTTGGGGTTTGGGGAAAGCTGCCCTCCAGCTCTGATTTCTGAGGTGCCTTATTTAGGGTTTAGGGCTTAGGGGAAGATGCCCCCCAACTCTGACTTCTCAGGTGCGTTAGGCGCCAGCAACCTAGGCGTTAGGATTAGCGGGACCCTTGGGGATATCGACCCTCTCAATAAGGGCCCTCTTCAAGAGAGCCATAACTGGGGTTAAGAAGGGTCCCCTTTAAGGGACCTTCCGAACCCTAAACGCCTAAACCCTAAACTGCGGGACGTCGGGAACTCCAGAGCCCTGCAAGTCCAAAGCAATTCTCACTCTCGCCCGCTTCGGCCTAAGCAAAGGTCCCACGCCCTTGCTACGTTCGAAGAAGAAGCAGAGGGTCTATAGGGTCTATATATGGATAGTCCATGGATGAGATTTGCACATCTAAACCAAGTTCATGATAGAGCTTAAGGTTAAAGCTTCTACAGAGAGCCTCTAGATAGAGCTCATAGATCGTATCCGGAGAGAAGGAGACCGAGAAAGAGAGGCATAAATTCTATGTAGAGTCTCTGCAGAAGTCTTATGGGTAGAGCTTGCAGGCGGAGTTTAACAGAACATCCAAAGTTTGTTCAACGGCCGATGGCAAATATCTTAGCAAGTTGAAGTCCCTCAATACTCTTCTGCACCCCACCAGCCAGAAACCAATGTGTATTCAACAACTCAATGACTTAATTACACATGGAGAAGGGAAATAGCATAAACTCGAAAAGGTCAGAGTCTCAAGACAGCACACCCGCGAAGTTCTTAGGAGCATGCGAAGGTTTTTTGCACTTGGCAATGCTGAGAACCTGCATGCATATACTCTAGAACTCAATGTGTGGACCACACATGCCAAGCATTGTCCACACCTTCTTGACTTCGCCGTCGTTCTAAAAACTGTTCAACAAGTGCAGATTCCCCGTTATTCCTGTTTCAAGATTACTGAATAAATGCTGCTTTCCTGCCAATGCATGCTCAAAACGATCATTGATGTAATAGACATGCTACAGCACAAACTGCTCTGAGACCTGAGGAAGGTTTGAGTCTGAGTGGTTCGAGCATCTACAGGTCTTGAGCACTGGCACGTGAAACCCTGGAGCTTCTTCGACGAGTCTGCGTAAATTACTGGACTGCAAGTAGAAATTCCTACATCTCGTTATCACTTCACAGGAAACCACTTCCCGAACAGCCAAGGAAGGGGTGCTTCCAGATATGTGTATACATATACACATACATA